CTTTTGCTCCGGGGACGGCACAGGCAAGGTAAGACACGATTTCCTGCATTGGTCTCAGCTAGGTGGTAGTCTAGACACTGCGGGATATCCTGCGTAGCCGGATCGGCGGGGGCTTCCAGAAGGAAGCATCATGCATGCAAATATAGCCTGCATGTGTGCTTCTTCTGGCCTGCCAAAACAAGAGGTCACTGCAGTGGAGGCAATCTGCTCCATCTGTATTTGATCTACCTGACCTACAAGGGACGCAATTTGTCCCGGCAGGTCCTCAACCAAAGCCCTACTCTCGTAGGCAAGCCCCGGCGCCGTGCGAGAATGGGTGGATAGAGGGACCTGCAACAGGCCCCATAGAAGTGAACACCTCCAGGGGCACAGCCTCGCCGTTGCTGACATGCTCTGGAAAACCACCGTCTGAGACAACGGAATGTGAGGATGCCCTCCGGTTAGCGGGGGGCGGGGTGTCTTGAAACCTCCACTGAAGGGCCTCTCACTCAATGTCTCGATACACGTGGCACCGGTAGGCGAGTGGGAGAACAACACACCCCTCACACCAATCTTACTGGACATGCGAAGTGGTCAAATTTGTATCGTTGAGTTTTGTTGTTGTTGTAAATATACACACAAAAGGGGGCGACACAAGGGTGAAAATAATAAAAACTTATCCTTCCAGCCACAGTGTCGGCTGCCATGCTAGCAGCAGCAACCCAAGCTAAAACTTGAACAGGAAAAAGCTCAGTACAGAGAAAGGAACAGAGTGACGAGTAGGCCAATATGGTTAAACCTCATGGCCTTGGTCACGTGGTTTGAGACGTGAGGGAAAATGGGGCTTCCCCTGACCTAGATTTATTTCTCCGTCATTGGCTGAATCGCAGATTAATGCCTACAGTTCAAAATAGTCATTTTGACTGCCTGGAGTCTATGGTGGGTAATTGAACGTAGTGAATTGTAAAGACCATTCAATAATGGTAATAACTATTATCTAACCATACTTTCTACAACATATACCACTGGTGACCACCAAACAGTTCGACTGTCTGGACCATTGAAAAATGGCAACCATGCTTTCTACAACATATACCAGTGGTGACCACCAAACAGTTCGACTGTCTGGACAATTGAAAAATGGCAACCATGCTTTCTACAACATATACCAGTGGTGACCACCAAACAGTTTGACTGTCTCTACCATTGAAAAATGGCAACCATGCTTTCTACAACATATACCAGTGGTGACTACCAAACAGTTTGACTGTCTTGACCATTGAAAAATGGCAACCATGCTTTCTACAACATATACCAGTGGTGACCACCAAACAGTTTGACTGTCTGGACAATTGAAAAATGGCAACCATGCTTTCTACAACATATACCAGTGGTGACCACCAAACAGTTTGACTGTCTCTACCATTGAAAAATGGCAACCATGTTTCTACAACATATACCAGTGGTGACCACCAAACTGTCTAAACCCAGCAAAATAATGAGCAATGATTTACCTATAGCAAATATATCCAAAACCAGGTATAACTTAGAATCTGCATTATATGTATCGAAAAGTTGTTCATTACAGAATTTACAACAGAATTTGATTGGTTAACATGCTTGCACTTTAAAAATTCTATTCAATGTTCCCATTGTTGTAATTAAGAAGGAATATTCATTGTAGGTAACACACAAGTAAATTGTTTCAGCAAAACAAAGTGTAACACATTCTGGTTTCCATTGAGATTTTGCTCAATTCCTTTAAGTTGCATTCCCGCTTTTCAAATTTGTGACGTATCTCTCCTCTCTTGACAGATATATAGACCATATAATGTTACGAATGTGGATGAGTAAAGAGAAATTAGCTGCAGAATATGGAATTTAAGTTCTCGATTTGAAAACGATAGACACTTTCCTTGATTAAAACTCTTTGAAGGGCAGTTACATTGTAGGTATGTTAGTCTAAGGAATAAAACCTTCCGGTAATCTAAAAATAAAATGAATGAGAAAGAGTGGACAGGAAATCTACATACAATATCATATTATTCAGCTGAAACAACATTTGAACACACTTAATGTTTTAGCTTGTTCTGGGAGTGGTGTTATACATACTTGCAAAGTGAGAATGTAACTTTGAAGCAGAGTTCATGTTTTTGTTCACAATTACAAATATGTTCTATTTGACATTGCTCTTTGAATGCATGCAAATAAATGCAATATACATTTCAAAGGTTTTATACATGTAGATATCTACAAGTCTCTGCAGATGAGAGTGAGTGGCTGTGAGTTGTATATAATTTATGCAAATTTAGATAGCACTGACCAGCCTATCGATGATCTGCATTCAAATTCAGTACTCAAACAGCAATCTTTTAGAAGGCGTACTGAGAAGAGGCAGTTCATAAAAAAAAGATCGCAATCAAACAATGAAAGAAGCGAGAAATGACTTTCCTATGCATGGTAACTAAGTCCAAATTGCCTATTGCATTTATTACTTCGGTACAATAATATCGTTGGGGTTCACATTACATTATTATAATAGGATAAAGATTTAAAAGTGTCTTTAACATCAACAGTTTACTACAAAATATATATTACACAAACTCACATGACTATTTACACAGATATTAATCAGAATTATCATTGACTACCTGATCATGTCATTTCTCTATTATCAGTGTGTGGTGTGCTATGAATGTCACAAGCTTAAGAAAAATGAATCATGATAAAAGATTTACAGAGTCATTAACTTTTACTATAAGCGGAAGAGATGAATGGATAATCATCTTTTTTAAGATCATTTTTCAGTTAAGTAAGCATTGCATCCAACATTTTGATGTCAATTTGTTGGTGATATTTTTTGGCTTTTTTGATCCACATTTCCAAAAAAAAAAAAAAAAAGGAATATCAACAATGTGTCAATATACTTTACATATATACTGTAAACCGTTTTTATTTCGTGAAAGACGAATTGTTGCGAGTCAAAGAAAATCGCACAATTTTGTAGCAGTGAATAATTCTCTGGGGTTCTTCAACACAAAGTGTCAGTGACTTTTTCCCTAATTTTGACTCTACGAATGACATAAAATTATTAAATCCCAAACATTTCTAGTGGTTTACAGTATACAAAGTCCATCAAAGCACACACACACTCCTAATATACTGTAGTAATTATAAACACTTTGGGATTATGAAGTTATATAACTTCAAAGTGACAATTCTTCAATTCTTTTTTTTCTTCAATATTTGATCAATTACATTCACAGAAAGTGTTGAAATAAATACAATGCAATGCAATAAAAGCAGCACATGTCTCACATATTTCAGTAAATAGTGGAGTGAACACAGGATTCAAATTAAATATACAGTACATAGTAAATGACTCGTTCATCTTGTTCTTCTATAAAATATTCAAAATTATCATTTCATTACTATTTCTTCGTATTAATGTATATTATTACAATAACATTGTACTTTATTTCTAATGTTGGTACGATTGCAATGGTAGCGCATGCAAGAAAAGCGTGCTCAATTTTTAATTGAATTTTTTTTTTTTTTTAAAGAGAGCTTAACATGGCAAGTGTTCACAAAAATAATTCACATAGTAACCATAGTAACACCTATTCAAAAGCTCATGCATTTCTGAATAATGAGATAAGACTTTAATATATTTATAATCTATGAAGAGAGAAAGCATGTGGAATGGTGGTTATTTTATTATTCAAGACTTCATGAATGACACTTGGGCTAAAGTGACAAATGTAGCTGTAAATATTTCTGTATTCCCTTTCAGTACATGCATCTATTTTAACCATGATCTGCCACAAGAAAATGTAAACGTGCATTCCCAGTGTCGCATACAAATTTACCAGCTGCTCCAATTTCATGATTTTAATCAACCCATTAATTGCACATCAAGATTTCAGAAGAGAATAAGCATGCAAAAAAAAAAGATTTAAATTTCCAGTCCCATTGATGTAAGAATAAATTAAAATATCCAAAGACCCCCTGAGCTAATAAAATTACTATGTGCAACCCTGCTTCTAGCAACAATTCATCTATATACTCCATTCAGAGTGTAACAAATATACAATTCAAGTCATCATTTTCAAGTTATCTGTAATCGGTTTCCATGGTTTCATGATATGATAATCTCAATAATTAATGCACATTGGTCACAGTCCATAATCTGATTCAGAGTTGTCATATTTCTGAGTTCACTCCAAAACATTGCAAATGTCCATGGAATGACTAAAATTATCAAAATGTTCAAAATATATATTTGGTAACGCATATCATAATAATATACATAATTTGTTATTTGCTCAAAACAGCTATTGAGAAAGTTTTGATATTTGTTAATTAAAATTAAATTAAAAGTGAATACTGAAAGCAATCAGAGGATTAAGTTTTACACACTTACAAGTTGCATATACATTAATTCTAGAACACAATCTGTGTTTTTTTTTTTGTTTTTTTTAAGTACCATTTTTGGAGGTTTTTAAACACCAACAAAATTGCAATCTTTGTGAGAAAACCCTTTCAAGCCTGAAACAATTGTACAACATGAGGCAACTGTAGCAAAGCAGAAACAACCACCTTCTCAGCAAAGATGATTGGTCAGTTTGAAAAAATGCTAATGAGGTATCACATGTACAGAAATTCAGGTTCCAGGGCACATTACAACACTCTACACGTTGCATGAAAGACACACAGATCTATATATATATATATATATATATATATATATATATATATAATATATAGAGAGAGATTTATATATATATATACACCTCAATTGGCGAAGGAATGAAAAGAAATAAATTTTGCACTTAAAATAACGAATAATACGCCAACACATTTTGGCATAACATTTTTCTTGTTAACTAAACAACTTATCTAGAGCAAGGAAAATAAGAAAATACATTACTATGTGTACAATAAATTGGACGCAAACACAAAAGTTTTAAAATGAAATATTCTCATATCATCGTTAAGTTTTTAATTGTGGTCAACCTGTCTCTTTCTCTGTCCTGGCAAACATAAACTATCATTCACAGTATACAGTCAGACCTGTGTTAGTGCCCAACTCGATAGAAAGACATTAGGCATATAGTGACCACTTTTAGACAGTCCCAATGTGGCCACACTTTCAGCAATATTTTTGTAGATTCACCTTTTTCTGGAAACTGAAATAATTAGCAATCTATTTATCTTTCTCGAGTCAAACTTATTTGATTTTAATCAACTCAAATAAATATATTTTTTCTGCAACAGTATCATCTCATTATTTTCTTGACAAAGTTTATGTTAAATGTATGAGTTGGCGATCCATAACAAAAATCCGACCTTCATATCAAGACTTTTTTTAAGTTTCTTAGGGGGTCACTATTCACAGGTTTGACTGTACTTGTAAATATATTGTCATTTGCAAAATGTAGATGATCATAAAAGGCAAAATGATGGTGAACAAAACAACGCAAGACAAGAGACTGCCCTCTTTTGGTGGTTTAGCTAAATTACTTTGTTTGTTTTTTTAAAATGCCACTTCCTTTTTCCCTGACAATTTCCTTATTGGATTTCTTGCATTGTCTACATGTAGTTTTGATAAATCGACTCAAGTACTCTGGCAGTATAGGAATAAAGGGTTAAGTCTTCACTGTGGCAGTGCTTTTAAGATGGCATTTACTTCCTCTGCTACAGTCTTTAGAGCAAAATCAAATTGTTCCTGTGCGAAAAAGAAAAGAAAAAGTGTAATTAAAATATATTCAGCATTTTGCATGACATAAGTTACATGTACACATTAAACACAAATAAATTAATCAAAATATTTAAAACCAAACATGACTGGAAAAGTGTCTGTGTTTCATTATTCTCACCCACAAAATGAATAATTAATCAACATGAGAGTCAAATTCCTGCACTCAAGGTCAGCAAAAATTTTTAGCGGTGAATATACATGCAAAATTTTAGTAATTTATTATTATTACACAATAAATGCACCTTGAACTCAAGGGAACCCAACAAAAAATTTTACCACTGAATTAATATACTATAAAATGACTAATTTTCACTGGGTTTAAATTTCACTGATTTAGCATTTTAGGCATATTGAGTGGGTTTTAAATTCACGGTTTTATCCTTTAGATAATGTGTTCTATGCTAAATTTTACATATTCACTGGGTTTTATTTTAGCGCATTTGCATTAAAACCCAGTAAAAAATGAATTCATTTACAGTAATACTGAGTATAGGGCATAGAAACATGCACATTGCGCCTCAAAAAATTTTCTCTGAAGATAGTCTACATGAAATCAACCAACACTCTACAATAAGAATACCACATCATGTTGGGGGTAATTTGCTCTTAACAAATCATGAAATACTGTCATCCGGAGCAGTCAACATATCCGTCTTCATTATATAAGCAATTTAATATGCATATACTGGAACATGACGATATTACTTTGGAACTTTTCTACGCGAGATATCGTAATTTTTTTTAACATCACAATGTATAGAATGTGGATGTTTATCATCTCGGAATTAATCAACAAATCCGCTAAAACATCAACTTACCCTAGTTTTGACCATTTTTATTCTCTGATCTCTGATATGTTCCAACGTAGCAGCAATGTCGATTTCCTTCGCTCCTTTCGTCATTCTATTCAACACCATGTCAATCAAACAGTATGTGCCCGAACGACCACATCCATCACTAGGAATTCAAACCAAAAATATACAATTTAACAATCTAATAAACCGATACTGTAAAATACTTTATATTATCTAGAATTAATTTTCGCTGGCTGAAAAAAGACTTTTTGGATGTTTTGTATGGAATTTATTTTCACTGATTTTTGATGAGTTGAATGTAAAATATAGGAAAAAAAGGTATATTTGCTGGGTTTTACTTTCACTGAAACATTCCTTCAGCGAAAAAAGCGAAAATTAATTCCAAGCGAAAAATTTACAGTATACAATACACCAAGTTTCAGAAAAGATTGTCAATAAAATCAACATAAGTACATCACAATTAACTGATAACTTAAGAAGTTCAAATTTAAAAAGCTATATTATAAATAACTTATCATATAAAATTATTAAAAAAATATTTCAAGAATAAAATTTACAGGTGTGAATATTCCAATGGGATCATTGATAAGGAATCATGATTTATCAAAAAATCTGTTTGATAATACCAAGAAATACATTTGAATAATATTCAACTTAAATTCCATGAAAAACAAATTATTGGGAATTTTGAGAGTCTTGAGAATGTTGTTGCAGTGAACTTTCACTGATAAGACAAGAGACATGAAGTCGTAGTAACTTCTGTAAAAATTTCTGTTTCCGGGTGTCCACAAATCATTAAAATTATGAAAATTTGGTTTGCATTGAAAGACTGTTTATAGATTAGTCAAAGTACAAGGCATACATTAGTAAGGTTTATTGATTCTGACATGAAATGTGTTTATTCCCAAGGTATATAAAGCAAAAGATGTTAAAATGTTAAGTGAAGAATTCCCACGGTGGATCAGTGACAGATCACATTTATCAAGGACTAAAAAGGCATATACCGTATTTGCCCTATTCAAAGCGATCTCCAATAAAGGTACACATAAACCCAATTTTTCATTCATTGTATACTGAGTATTTCCGTGCAATGTATTCACCTAAGCATACAAACTACTAATAGAAACAATATGGTATACGCATGGGATAGGTGTATTAAAATCAGTCAGTCAGAAGAACAATTTTAAAAGAACTGGACAAACACCATCTTTGAAGCATCTCTGGTTTTTATCATGGGCAAGGTTATGATACTTTTACTATGTTATATACATAAATTATTAGTTTTTTTTTTAGGTGATTTTTGTCAGGGGTATACATGCAGCTGCAGAGCTATTTTTTTCAAATCAAAACTGAATCCATTTATTGATTTCAGTGATGTATATTAGAAACTAAAAAGGGAAAAATATGCCTGTAACTTCACACAGCATACTACAAACTTTCAAAATCCGACACAACGACATCAATTAACTTCAGAATCATTAAAAGAATACATGTGCTTTTTTTTAACCGGTTATAAAACACTATGATGACTACGCTGTGATCCCCGGGTAATAAAGATAACAGCTTTTTTATAACACGGTTAGAATTTACATTACACCAGGGACGCATCGCAGGAAAAGAACAGGAAGCCATAACAATCCATATGCCAACCACCCCTCTTCCCCCCTCCAACCCTTGTAGCTTTTCCAATGACAAGACGTGATGGTAATGCAATATTTTATCAGCTATTTGTCACACATCAAAACGACTAATAATCTAATGCAGAAATCACTTTCTAAAGTGACACAGTTAACAGTCAGATTTCTATATATAAAATGCGTTAATATAAAATGCCTTAATGGCCACCATTCTCCTTACAACATAAACTATTTTGGTTGTGATGGCAATAATGATGTTACTTTTTACAACTACTTTCATTCACCTTGAGAACTCAGCCTAGACCAATAAATAACCGCAGACAGATTTAAAGACCAATAAATTGATGACTATGTAATTTACCATACACATCAATCATGTCACAAATACATGGTAATTATATTGACATTGTTTATTATGCCCGCTTGCATATATTCAAAATTTAGGATTGTTTTTGTCTATGAAAAAAAATGGTCGCACGCTGACCGAATATAACTGTCAGATATGTCCTCCCACCTCATTGTAATTATCCACCGGTATACTCTTCTTGAAAACTAAAACACGCCTCACTCCTCAAGAGGAAAAAAAGATCCCAAAAACAACGAGGTGGAAAAGCAGTTTGCTTCAAGGCAAACACTGATAATACACTTATTTTCCTCTTTCGTAGAGGCAATTAAATTTAGCCACTGGGGGTACTTGGAAACATAGGTATGCCCTGTTTTTTGTAATGTTTAAAATACACCACTGTAGTACAGCGTGGCAGACAAATCCAAGCTGGATTACACCTTTTAACCTTGTTCTAACTAATAATGGCTTTGGATTATCCTCTTGTTGTACATACACATTTTCTAGTGAATAAAACCAACACACATTAAATCTTGATGGGGGATTCAATTCTTCCAGAGTTCATGCATGACTCGTGTCGTCTCTCTCGGCCACGTATCGTATCTTCCGGCAATTTTTACTGGCACATTTAGTAATTAGCAAATTGTGACTCAGCATTGCTTATATGCAAGACACATGACAGTGATTTCAACTAATTCAATTCTTGTTAGTGTGTACAGAAAACTATGAAATTTTACAAAACCAGAAACGCACAAGAAATTTTCCCCCAGATTCAAAATTCAAAAATCTGGCTATATTAAAGGAGTTTTAAGCAAACCTTCGCAGGGATATATACTATTTGTAGAATACTCATTTTAAAATGACAATTCTACAAATTAAAGAGGAATTTATAAATTGTTCCTTTTAAGATTTCATCACTATTAAAATAAATTTATATTGAATTAGAAATTTGATGTTCATCTACAGATTTTTCATTACGTGACGAAACAAATTAATTTTAGGAATTTTTGTTTAAGAGGAGACTACACATCTACTGTGAAATAACACTCGCATTTTCAATTTACATTGTAATAATGACCCCCCCCCCTCCCACACACCTACAATGTTGAACTGCATAATCACAGTTTGATGTATCTGATTGGCTGTGACGGCTCATGAATTATTAAGGACATGCAAATTAGTACTGTAGGTCAAAAAACTGCAAAGAAAATCAGAGGTTTTGAAACTAATTCTACTATTGTCAATACGAGACTACAAATAAAAATGATATGACACGTCAAAAGGGACATTATAGTCTATAGTCTCACTATCAGCAAACAGACTCACTATTAAAAATACTCAAATTGCAAATTTGATTTCACACTGATGACATACTAGTATACAATTTCTAAATTGTGGAGTTTTTTTATCGATATTTGGAAGTATAATTTGTCAAATTATATAAATGCTCACTGGTAGTTAAATATTAATGTGGAGAATAAATCACAGAAAAGCTATGCCAAGAAAACAGACATCGAAATGGCTATTGTGAAATTATAACTACGGTAACTGAATCTCAAACAAAGTCTACTTTTTCAATTACATTCATTAATAATCATATGATCGTCTCTCTTAATGTACACTATTTGACTTTATAAAGCTCTTTTTCCCTCTTCTGCCACAGAATTTTCTTTGGAATAATTTATTGTTTCATTTAATCCATTTTTTAGTACCTCCACAATTGCTGGAGGATTAGAGTAGATTTGATTTTTATGGGGCGCATCACTATAAAATATGTTCACCAACATTTCTTACGATTGCCAAATTTCTAAGCATCCCATAATACTTGTTCACCACATATATCCTCAAGAATAAACATTACTGACAGTTCAGCACTACTGAATGTATCACTGGAGTCAACATTTTCAACACTCTCTGATTTTCTTTGCTGTTTTTTGACCTACAGTACTAATTTGCATATCATTAATAATTCATGAGCTGCCACAGCCAATCAAATGTCACCAAATTGTGATCATCCAGTTCAACATTGTAGGTGTGTGCACAACCATGCAAGTGAAAATGTGAGTGTTATTTCACAGTGGATGTGTAGTATCCTCTGAAACAAAAAAAGCATAATATTCATTTGTCACTGAATTAAACATCACTGAATTCAGCACTTCTGAGTTTGACATTACTGAACTTATCATTGAACTGAACATTATTATCACTACTGAATTGAACACTATCGAATTCAACATCACTAAACTCAACATTAACAAGCTCCTAACTTAGAAAGATTTATCGCATATGAGTTTTAAATAGGAAAAAAAAAAATCAAGGACAGAAAAATGAAGAAAGACAAGATATATACTTGTATATGCTAATACAAGATCAATGACTGGAGAACTAGAAATCCCAATTCAATTTTCTATCCATCAAAGCTTGCTACCTCAGGAGACTCAACAAGTAACACCAAATAGATTACAATCACTCTATGTTGTGCATCACAAATACAAATAATAATCATGTACATTCACTATTCATTCACTAAGAAGTAACAAGGTATTTAATACATCTTACTATTGCATATTATGATGCTAATAATTTATAAATAAATATACTCTGAACATATCTATATTACCCACATCTATAAAGAGGTCATTTACATAAATTTGCATACATATCCCATGACGCATACTGATACATATAGTTTCACATTACTAATTTTTAACTTAAAAATGCCTGAGAACGTATAACTTTACCAAATATGGGCAAGGAAATAGTAACATTTAAATACAATCATATTATTACCATACATTGTACATTTTTTTAAGCTATTTGGCAAGTAAATGACACTGTGTCAAATTTATTAGGAAAAGAAAACTGATTATTATTAAAACACTAAATTTTGAATTTGGTCCAAAATTTAAGAGAGGAAAATACAAATATTATACCACCCAACATGTTAACAATATTGAGGCAGTCATAACAAATATTATTTGACCATTTATGGACAGTGGTGGTTTCCTTAATAGGTAATAGTTGAAAGATGAAGACCTACCTGCAATGGACCATAATTGGGCAAGCACGACCACGGAATGACTTATTTACCTTTCTGTAAGAATAAAAAAAAAAGAAACGCCAGTTTAAAATAAAAAAAATAAATCGATATATATATGTATCACTGAAAAATCTTAGAAAATACGCAAAACATCTCAAACAAAGAATTGATACTGATAAACTCAAAAAATTACAAAAAGTGAGTATAGAAGCACAGAGAGGCTTTTATATTTTTGTCAGATAGATCCACAAATACAGTCAATCATACAGTTCATGAAAGATTGATGTATTCTTTCAACGATGAAGTGATTATTTATACATGATTTATAACTTCAGCCCAAATGACATGGTACAGCATTCAAAATGAACGCCACAACATTTTTGACCATATCAACTGAAAGGAACACAAGTAGTGTTCATGGCATATTTCGTTAATAATGCATGTAACATGTTGAAACCCTAATTCAATATTAAGGTAAAAGAAAAGAGTGCAACCTCCAGCTGTTTAGGCATTGTATAAATGTGAATGGTCTGCAAATTCTAATATTTGACTTCAATGTGTACTCATTTTTGTACCACAAGTCATTTTGGCATAGTAATTCGTCATTAAAAAATAGAAAAAAAATTTGCAAAAAAAAAATTGATGATCCATTTAAGTGATAGCCCTTACCATGGTATTTTGTAGTTAACTTGTTAGTGTGGAACAAACAAATCTTGTTACAATGTCTACATTTCTAATACCAAACTAAGCCAATGAACTTTCATTATTACCGAAAGCAAACTACGCTGACATTATTATAAATCAAGTCGTCAAAGAAAATGAGAAGAGCGCAGAGAGACGTGACCAAAATGACCCTTGGAAAGCTGCAGGGCATTCAGAAACTCAGTTTTATTCAGATACAATGATGAAGGCTATGCGAATCATGTTTTTATTTACAAGGATTCAAGAAGGATAATGCATATATAAAGACACAGGGGAGAGCAGTTGATTTGACCTACAAGAGGATGTGCTCTCTTCCATCGTTAATATCCATCTATAATACAAGTGATCCCTTGGATCAGTTGGATTTCATTCAGGAGGAACAGAAAAGTAATTAGACTAAAAATGAGTAGGTCATGATCTTCTTAGAACATTGAATATAAAAGAAGACTGACAAGGTATTATATGGTGAACAGATATTTTACAGCTGCGGCCCTCGTTAGGCAGAAAACAAAGAATGTTTCTTCTTCGAAAAGAATTATCACATGATGACAACTTTACAATTTGTTTTATAGTCTCATTAACAGGGCATTAAGTAACGAGCGGAAGCCTTTATAGGTTGTACAATACATACATTTAAAACAAATCCTGGATGTTCCATAACCTCATGACAAATACAGAACAAATTGTACAATTGGCGAACCATCAAAAGATAATGTAAGAGTGAAAAAAAACCTTAAAAATGAAAACCATCTTTCAGCAAATTTATAAAACACATAACTGTATTTGCAAAACACATTTAGTTGTTCAGCTCATACAAATGCAATATAGGGTAAATGGTGTTTGCTTTTGGTACATGAAGTTTGTTTTGAATCTTTTCACAAATTTTGGATGATGGGTTCCCTGCATACATGAATAAAACAAATTTACCATCGCAAAGCAAAGATATTTTTCAACACACAAAAGAAAAATTTTGATCCATACTATTTTTACTAGTAAGAATAAATGCAACTTACAACCAGCACATTTGTTATACTGCAAGATATTTAATGTTCCCTATCTATAAATTATACGATAGAAACACTGTGACTCGCTGTCTTGAAATTCCAAATGAAATGTTTACTGCTACAAAATTGTATGACATTAAAACAGGCTTAAGAACTGTTTTCATATACAGCATGTATTCAAGAAGAATCAAAGCAGATTACTTTGTTAATCATTAACGTTTTCACCACCAGTTCGCTCTTTTCATCACAAATTCAAAAATGCTCCTGTTTATAGTCTGCACTTTCCTTCAGAATATTGGGACAAAAATAGTCAAATTTTTTGAGTAGAAACTTAAAGTTGACTTAAATTTTGTTTGTTGGCTCCAAAATTAGGGTTTATTTTCAGAAATATTGAAGGATACAAGAAAAAAAGTGCAGAACAATTTGAGCGAGAAAGTCTGGTGGTGAAAAGGTTGATGCACATTGTATGTATATTTTGTTTTGTACACAATTAACAGCTAGAGCATCAAGCATAAAAATTGACCTGAAATAAAACATAAAAACCAATATGGCATATAAGATGTGTATGGTGAGATAATGACAACCAAGATAATGTCTAACATAGCAACCAATACATGGTAACAATCATGGGATGCAATACAACATCAAATACATGGCATACTGAATTGTAACTATCATTAAACCAAGACAACATTCAAGATGTGAATCAAGATTACACCAAATATGGTAATGAAGATGGTAACAAATACAATCCAAGATGGCAACCAAGATTAAATTCAAAATGGCAATCAAGATTAAATCCAAGATGGCAACCAAGATTAAATTCAAAATGGCAATCAAGATTAAATCCAAGATGGCAACCAGAATTAAATCCAAGATGAGATATAGCACAATTATAATGGATGGTATTCAAAGTGAAAATACAATAAACTATGATATTTTCATAGCATCATGCTTGGTAACATTGGCCAACAACAT